CAGGTTCTGAACAGGAATCATTCCTCCACGTCGAGGCAGGTGAAGAGAATTTACCCAGATGGGTCAAAAGTAAAAAAAAAAACACCCATTTGAGTTTGGAAGGATTCTGCAGACAGACCCACTTTCGGTTCAACCAATAGTAAAAAGCAGCAAAGTTAAATATTTTATTGCGGTAATCGTCACGCACAAAAAGAACAAACATTGGATGCATGATTCCCCTTTATAGTTTATTTTCAAAAATGAAATTAATGCCACCTTTTGCTTTGTCAATATCATCATCATATAGGATTAAGACGTTGCACACATCTTGGTCGGTCGCGTTTTTAAGACTTCACTTCTTAATCCATCTACTCTACTCTTCATGCCTTCGGATCTTCTTCTCAATTTTACTTTTTCTTTAGGCTGTGTTCACTCCAAATAACATAAATTATAATATGTTAGACAATTTATTAATGCTAATTACTCAAATCTGAAATCTCTAAGAAAAGTAACACTCTCTTTAAATACTGAGGTCGTCTGATGAATTTACTTAAAGATTAAACCAAGCAATACTACTTAAATATAATAATTTTTTTGCACGAACCAAACGATCTCGGTGATAAATGAATTGTTGTTATTAAATCCGAGGTTCCGGGTTCGAACACTATAAAAACCAAGGGTAAAAATGTTAAATGTCGAGCGATTGAGAGTTATCTTTGAACATATACTAGCTTGTACTTGACTAGATTAATAGAAAAATATAACAATTTTATATCCGAAATGTCCTATTTTTAATCATAATTTTATATTTTATGAATCAAACACCTTTAAAGATTAAAGATACTATATATTTTGACACTTATATATCAATTTAATTATTGTAATTAGACGCAAGATAAATGTTGATTTGAACATAGTTTCACGAAAAATATCATTAATTTATTGTATTGTAATAACCAATGTATAAATTAAAAAAATATGATAAACAACTATATACTTGATGGACCTAACATTAAGAAAGTTGGAAAACTACCTATTATTTATCTATAAGAAGAATCCTAATTCCTTGTCTGGATGGATATCTTCGCCGAACATATATCACTAAATACAATTAACAATTTTGTTATTATTTTTAATATATTAATTGTGTACAATTTTGTACATTATTAATAAATTTAATATATTTTATTTAAAATTGTGAATTTATAAAAGTAGGAGGATTAAAAGTGCACAAAAAATATCAAAGAGAGACGTTATGCACGTATCTATCCCCGCCACCTTTTCCTTTGTATAAATCCCAGTCAACTGGTTCCAAGGCTTTTACTCCATTTTTGTTTTCGAATTTCGCCACTCTTATTATATTCAGGAGCGTGGCACCATAAATGCACCACAAAATTGGAGAAAAAATAACGGTGGAGGCTATAATTTTGCTCTCATAGGGCTGTCGCTTTTTACTTGCATAAAGTCATTGATTTGATTGATACAAGAGAATCCATGTTTTCATAGCCTTCAAGATCTTGCCTTGCTTGATTTTGATCCGTTATCTGTGTCTTTTTTGCCGAGCAGGGCGTTTCCGTTCATGGGCTGCGCCGCCTCGAAACTCGACCATCTCCCGGCGGTGTCTTTGTGCCGCGACCGATGCCACTTCCTCGACGGCGCTCTCCAGCAAAGCTACGCCCTTGCCGATGCACACGTGGCCTACATGCAGTCGCTCAAGAATTTGGGTCCCGCCCTCCGGCTTTTCTTTGATCAGATTCTGAAATCTACGTCCGGCGATGACTCCGCCGTGAAACCGCCGAAGCAAGCTACTCCGCCTTCCTCGCCGGACCATTCTCTCTCGAGTTCGAACTCGGATTCGCATATTCAGTTCGATACTGATTTGGAAGAGGAAGAGACGGATAAAGATTTTGGTAGCTCTTTCAACCAAATAAACACAAGTTATCATAATTATCACGGCAATACAAACCAGAACTGTGAATTCATCAATTCAGGCTGGAAAACACCGCCGCCTCCAGCTCCGAGGAGCGCCGCTTGGGATTATTTGAATTTTTTTGATGAGCTTTATGAGAGATACGAGTTACCTTCTTCTTTAAGCCAATCAGTGAAGAACAAAGAAGGATCTCATGATATTGAAGCACACCCAGTAAAGCAAATTCACAGAGATGAGAAGTCCAGTACAAATCACAGAAAAACAAAAAGAGAAGAAAATCAAAACGGAGAAGCTATTCCATTAAAGAACAGTGGGGCACCTGAGAGTGAGAAGAAAGGAGATACACCCACTGATTTAAATGAACCCAGAAATCAAAGCGATGAACGAAGTGTTTCTAAGGTAATGGAAGAACTACAGGCTCTGTTTGAGAAAGCTTCGGAATCTGGAAATGAAGTTTTGAAAATGCTCGACACCGGAAATTTTCGTTACCATCACAAAAAATCTGTTTATCAAGGTAAGATGTTTTTGAACTTCCCTTCTAACTTAACATTGAGTTTTTCATTTTCAATTACATAGTTTTGACGGTTACTGATAATGCAGGTTCAACGAAGATATTCCATATGATTACTTCGAATTCATTGGAAACAGAGTCATTATTGTCGAAAGAGAATATCAGTTCCATGGATGATGATGAGATTATTAGTTCACAGAATCTATCTTCAATTCTGAGGAAACTGTGTATGTGGGAGACGAAACTCTATGATGAAGTCAAGGTATGGGTCAAATGCTTTTGAATTTCACTTTAACTTTTCCTTTTTCTCATCTTGGTGAGCTGAAAAGGTGAATGACTATCGGTAAATACGAGGATCAAAGTATATGTTCTTAATGTAAAGCGTAGTTTTCTCAGGTTACCATTTCATTTATTGGAAAGAGCTACACCCATGTGATTTGAATAGTTAGAACTCAACCCAGTTGGAAAATTTAAAACTTTAGGGGACAAAACCCCATTGATTTAATAGACAGAGTTCCTGGAAGTGTACAATGGTTTACAATGGTTTATACAGCCCCTATAGCATGATCTGAAATTTGAAATGAAACCGTTATCTTTTATCCGTATAGGGTGTAATAGATATGGTACCAATGGAACTAGGACATAATTGATCTTGAACATACAGACTGATATTTTTAAAATTTCTTCCATTTTTTTGCCTTTTCTACACAAGGTCTAGTCTTTTAATGGTCATGGTGTGCCTTGTTTACTTGCATTTTTGAAGGCTGAGGAAAAGCTGCGTATACTTTATGCGAAGACGTGTAGGCAGATGAAAAGCTTGAACCAGAAAGGTGCTAATGCCCGAAGAGTCGACTCGACTAGATCTTTGATAAGGGTCGTATCTACTAAGATGCGAGTTGCAGTTCAAGTTATTGACAAGGTAGCGATTACTATAAATAAGCTGATGGATGAAGAATTATGGCCGGAAGTCCATGAGCTGATTCGCAGGTACATTTTCAATCTAGTGAACATTACTTTGTTTTACATGATTATATTGTGCAATTTTCAAGAACACAATGCAAACTGCAAATTACTTGTTTTAGATTGTTTGGAATGTGGAAGGTAATGCTAGAATGCCATAGCTGTCAATGGCGGAAGGTTATGGAAGCTAAATGTTTCGATTTCATTGCCCTGAACGAAAAGCTTAATGATGCTCATCTTGAAGTGGCAATGAGAGTAAAGCTTGAGCTTCAAAACTGGAGTCTTAGCTTCTCTAGTTGGATTGAAGCTCAGAGGGGTTTTGTCAAAGCCTTGAATGGTTGGCTTCGAAGATGTATTGTATATGAACCTGAGGAAACAGCTGATGGTGTATCACCTTTATCTCCTGGTAGAGGCGGAGCGCCCCTTGTATTTGTGATCCTTAACAAGTGGTCGGAAGCCATGGATAAAGATAAACTGTCGGAGAAGGAAGTGGTTGAAGCGGTACACGGACTTGTAATGAGCGTAAACCGAGTGGTGGAACAGCATAATGCATATATGCAGCAAAGGATAATTGCTGATAAAGATATGGAAAGGAAAGTAAAGATGTTGGAAAAAGAGGGGCGAAGGATGCAGAAGTTAATGCAAGCTCAAGTAAAGAAGATGACGCAGTTGGCTAGGGAAGAAAGAGATGCCCTTCTACCTAGAGACACCACACGTTGCAGTGATATTAGGGACGCTGGTAGTTTGACGAATGGTCTGAATCAGATTTTCATGGCAATGGAGAAGCTTGCTACCCATTCCAGGCAAGCTTATGAAGAACTACATAATTGCATAGAAGAGAGCAAGGCTCCTCAAGATAAACCCTTAAAGTCCACACCCATTCATGGTTAAGGTAACAATACGGCCAGTCAGCTTTTAAACCATGTAGTTTAGATGTTGAAACAAGTTATTCGATTGTGGTTTTGGCAGTGGATCTTGAGACCAGAGCCTCTGTAACTACTGGGGATGGTTCTTGCCTCTTGAGACCAGAGCATCTGAAACTACTGGGGATGGTTCTTGCCTCTTGGCTTTATTGCCTTCCCTTGCTGAAAATGAACTAACTCACTTGTGATCATGGTCGGTAGGCATCTGTCTACCCCCACATTTGTCTTTTTGATTAAGATGAAGTTTGAGTGTATTTTGTCTCTAGGAGATTACCAATGTGCTTTTGCAAGGTAGCCGTTTTCCATATCAGTTGCACTGTACATTAACCAGCATATTGTTAATTTGTTATTCTTTTCATTAGTTTTCAGCCTTCCATTGTTTAAGTAATCTGGTTCAGTTATTAGATGGGTAGAGTTCAGGCAGTTTCAGGGAAGTTACTAGTTGTTACTGTCCATCTAATATAATATCTCCTCATTATTTTCTATGTTATCATTCAATCAAATTTTAGTTTAATGTTTTTAAACAGAACAGGCTCAAGTACTTTCCATTTTTGTTCGATTGACATCATTATTAGCTTATTGTTGAATAGAAGAAAACATGAACATGTTTAAACGCACACCACCCTCATATCTGTATAAAAAAACTCTGTAAGTCTTCCATTTCCAATTTTCATGGCCACATGATAGATTTCCTTAATTACAGGAAAAAAAAAAGAGTAAATTTTGTTTCATTTCATCATATGAAAAGCATACACAGATCAATCTGAAAACTTGATAGTCAGTCGTACAAGGGTTCAATGGAGACAAATCTGCATAAAAATAAAATCTATGAAACATAAAGCTCAGCTTTTCCATCAATGAAGAGGCTCATGAACTCTTCTCCATCAACAGTTCCTTTCTCTATCAGAAGTTGTGCAAGCTTGTGGAGAATGTCGATGTGGGTTGTGATTATCTGCTTTGCCCTACTGTATGCAGTCTCTACGAGATCCCTTACCTCTGCATCCACCACATCCGCGGTTTCCATGGAGTAATCTTTTTGCAACGACATCTAAGAATCGAATTTACGAGTCAGATAAAGTAATAATAACAAGGAAAACTACATACATACAGAAGCTCAAAGGGCATGAGATCATGCAGGTAACAAAGACATCACCTGTGGACCTAAGAAAGGATTGCCACCACCTCCCCCAATGGCAACTTGTCCAATCTTTTTGCTGAATCCAAATCTTTCAACCATCTGCCTAGCCACCCATGAGACTCGCATAAAGTCATTTGATGCTCCCGTTGTCACATTTTCCTTGCCAAAAATTACTTCTTCGGCAATCCTGCACAAGTAATGAGAAAGCTTCTGGAATAAGGTCAAGACACGAATTGAATAGAAAGATGCAGGCGCCACCATATGCTATTGAAATTCCTCCTTTGCAGGATTTTGCTACATATACAAATCTAAGCTAACCAACCTATATCTCATCCAACACTAAAAGGGGTCTAAGATTAAGGTTGTGAATTCACCTCACATCAATTGTTTAAACAAAGATAAAACTTGAGAAACTGACCTTCCACCATGCGTGACAGCCATCTGGTTCTCTAGGTAGCTTCGGCTGTAGAGACCAGATTCAAGCCTCTCTTCACTTGGAGCAAAAAGGGTAAGTACACCAGCTTGACCACGGGGAATGATAGAAATCTTGGCCACGGGATCATACTCCGGCATAAGTGCACCAACTAAAGCACGGCCGGCCTCTGTGTATCAAAGGGCATACAGAAAGTCAAATACCCAGGATCAAATCATAAGCAAAGCAACAACCAGGGAACAAACACATACCGTGGTAAGCAACCAATTTCTCCTTCTCATCAGAGACAACAGCATTTTTCATCTCAGGTCCAGCAATGATCCTCTCCAGAGCATCAGATATTTCATCTTTGTTTATTTCCTTCAGCTCACGCCTGGCCGCAAGAATGGCAGCTTCATTCATCAGGTTCTGCAAATCGGCTCCAGTGAAACCTAGGGTCCTCCTTGCGATCTTTCCAAAGTCAACATCCTTTGCAAGTGCCTTTCCTCTAGAGTGCACCTGCAGAATAAAAAACCATGGATCAAGAGACGGTCAATGAAAGGATCGAAGATGAGCAACTCAACAATGAAGTTGAAGACAACAGCTCAATTTAGAAAAATCAAAACAGGAGAAGCTAATATCGTTCCAAGCTGCAATAAAAAGGCTTAATAGGAACAGAGGCATTAATAATTTAGAACAAAGGGCCAAGCAAAGGTTGACAATGAATTTGAAAGCTAATGACAAACTATTTCACTTTCTGGTTGAAAGAGAACAGAAACTTCACTGTGCCATTACAACTCTGAACATTATCTTTTCCTAGTGCAAGCATTCAATTTACTCAAAATAAGCCAAACGCATTGAAACAATCAAGTAAGCAATGGGTTGATAAATGGCTAACCTGGAGAATCTTCACTCTACCGGCGACTTCAGGCCTATCGACTGTAACCTGTCGATCAAACCTACCAGGAGTCAACAAAGCCGCATCGAGAACATCCGGTCTGTTAGTTGCTGCCAAAACAATGACACCGGAATTGCCATAAAACCCATCCATCTCTGTCGATCAAACAATGACACCGTATCGAGACCAGCTCCTCTTTGCCTCCTAACAGCATCAATCTCATCAATGAACACAATGCAAGGCGCCTTGGATTTCGCCTTATCGAATAAATCCCTTACTCTCGACGCACCAACACCGACGAACAACTCGACAAACTCCGAAGCAGCGGATGAGAAAAAGGGCACCCCGGCTTCTCCGGCTACAGCTCTGGCCAATAGAGTCTTTCCAGTACAAGGCGGGCCAACTAATAGACACCCTTTGGGGATTTTAGCTCCTAAAGCTGTGTACTTGACTGGGTTCTTCAAGAAATCGACAACCTCTTGTAGTTCCAATTTTGCCTGGTCAGCTTCGGCGACATCAGCAAAGGTAACACCAGTCTCCGGCATGTCAGGTTTACACCTGAAATGGCGAGAAAAGGTTGAAGAAACAGAGAAGAAAGGTAGATTACAGAAAGGAATTCTCAGTATTTTCATTCATATCTTTCATTTTGCCGATTACAACTCTATATATTGCTTAGATTTATTCAATTATTTATCGACAACTGTAAGATTCTTTCTAATAAACCCTAACTGTTTCCTTGTCCCAGTTTCTGCCCGTGAATCCTCCTTATCTGCTAGTAATTCCTCAGCCCAATTGTTGTGTTGTCTCAATTTGCCCTATCACCTGTCCAATTCCAGCATCAGGTAATTCCTTCCCTTTCACTTTCTCCTTTTTTATAATTCAAAATCACTAATTCATTTTCCAATTCCCTAATTTCTCGATCCTAATTAATTCTCAATTTCACATCCAGGGTCATGACAATACCTCTCCTGCAGTCAATGCTTGTCCCAATTATCGAAATAAAAAAACTACGATTTCAGTACAGTAAAATCCTCCCAGGTAGTATTCTCTGATCCCAAATTCACCCATTAAATTAATAATTGTGTGATTGTTTTTTTTATTTCTTTTCACCATACGCTTGTCTAATATCAGTGAAGGATAAACACGAAGCTGTTTTGACCTCTGGTAGATTTCGAGAGGTTACTGCTTTATCCCTAATCTTCTTTTTCAACAAATTAATGTGGAAAACAAGATGAATTTTTTAGTTTTCAGGTAACTACAATCTGTAAGCCACTGACTCTATTTTCTCTATGACTTTATAGTGTCCATAGTACCTGGCTGACAACTTCAAATTTTTCCTTAATGCCACTGATGTTTGTCTATATGCTGTAATTTAGGGTGCGTTTGGTTCACAGAATATAAGATAAGATTATAGGAATGTAACATTACCTAACACATTACTGTGTTTGGTTTATTTGGCAGGAATGTAAGATTACAGTGTTTGGTTGAAGGTATAAAAGATTACTGGAATGTATATTTTACCAAATTGTCATTGTTCTATATTTTTTAACAAGTAAAATTCTAAATATTTAAATACAAATTATTTATATAAAAATTCATCAATAATATATTACTTGAGTATTTAAATATATAATGTATTATTTTAATTTTAATTAATATTAAAATTTACATAATTTATGTAAAAACATATTAAAATTTTACGTCAACACAAGGAACGGATCAAAACTGAACAACACTGTCTGGCCCGGGAGATCGTCAACATTATAGCATGCGAAGGGCCTGAAAGAGTGGAACGTCATGAACTTCTAGGCAAATGGAGATCAAGGTTTATTATGGTTGGCTTTACACCCTCTCCATTAAGCTCATTCGTCAACAATACCATCAAAACTCTGCTGCAAAGCTATTGTGACAAGTATACACTTGAAGAGAGAGATGATGTTCTTTATCTCGGCTGGATGAATCGAGCTATTGTCGCTTCTTGTGCATGGAGATGTTATCCGATTGATAACTGTTTTGACAGTGTTTATACAACCTGTATTTGGAAAAAGAAAACATGGCAAAAACACGAGATTAGAGCTTACTTGGTAACCATGTCATTTCCAAGGATGTAATGTAAACAAGATGTTTCTATAGTTAAATGTTAGTGATTAATTTCTAGTGGTTAACTGTTGCAGCTTGTCTTGTTTACGCGTTTTTCACTCTGTAATGTTAACATTTCATAGTTATGGATATGTTCTTTTTTTATGGATATGATGCTAGCTGGTCCATTTGCCTGAAAATGTTCACATTGCAGTTAAAAACTACGGCAAAACGCTCGCATTCTTAAGATATGATAGAAAATATATATTGTATTTCTTACAAATTCCATTACAAGAACTTGTTTTACACACACTTTCCTGTGAAAAATAAAATTGTATCCGTTCCACTTTTGTATAAACCCTAAGTTTAATACAAATAGTGATTGGCAACATAACAAGATAAGCTGAAATGGTAAACTAATACATACATACATATATACATATGTATATAGTAGGAAAATTCCAGATTTTCAGAAGATTCTTTCCTTTTACCAGTGAAAAAGATGGGGGGAAATGAAATGATGTCCATATTTTTTATTCAGCCACCTTCATTGTTAACAGATTTATGGACCTGTTAGTATTCTTCCCATGCTCTGTGGCAATGCATAAGAATGGTTTAGGGGTGCAATTCCAACACCACGCCCTTCACTCGGATTTTCTCGAGATCCATACCGATTCATGTCGCCATAGTATGTTGCCAGCGGAGTAGGTTGAACCGTGTTGAAACCATTCTGAGGGCGGTATTGGGCCAGTTCAGAATGCAATCGTTGATGCTCATTTGAAGTATTTTCGGGAACGGAATTAATGCCAACACCAAGATCAAGGCTAATGGCACCATTTTCTTCTGATATAATCCTTGATGGTCCTGCTGTATCATGACTACTGGCAGGGCCGGTCCAATGAGTTTTAATGCCCTGGACGAGATAATAATTTTATGCCCCTATACTTGTACCGCATAATAGACAAAACATAAATAATTTTTTTAAAACAAAAATGTAATAGAAATTATAGTCAAACAATATCAATATTAATACAAACCAAAACCTATAAGGCTACAAATATCACCTAAAAATGATGCCTTCGTGCATTTTTTGAAGCAAAAACCTCTATTATTTTACGATAATCAAGACTTTGTAAAAATTGACTTTCGATGCTTAGAATTGCTAATCCGTTCAATCTATCTTGAGTCATCGTGCTTCGAAGATAAGATTTCAAGAGCTTCAATTTTAAAAAACTTCTTTCCGCGGAAGCAACCGTAACTGGTACCGTAAACAAAATTTTATATGCTATTAACACATTAGGGAACATATCCATTCTTCTTGCAAACTCCATTATTTGAATAGAAGTCCATGGACTTTCACCTTTGTGTGCTTCATCCGGCAACATTTTCTGCAAAATTTGTAACTCTATAAATAATTTTTTTCCCATCAATATCAAATTCTTCACCATTTGTCAAATTAGACTCAAGATTTAAACAACATTTTTTAGTTCGTCATCAAGTAATGAAATTAACTTTGAACCATCAAACAAGAAATCAAATATAGACTCGAAATGTTGCATTTGTTCAAATCTACTTTTCAATTGAACAAGAGCCATATCTACAAGAATAATAAAGTAATCCTTTCGAAATGCTTCTTGAGAAGATTGTTGTTCTCTTTCGGTATTTGGAATTTCATCAAATTATTTTTTTCTATAAGAAATACGTTTTTTTAGGAAATTGAGATTCAACCCCAATATTATATGCTATTTCTTTAGCTTCATTAATAACATTGTCAAACTCAATTTCCCTATATTCTTCAAAGTAATTAGTTAGCCCTATAAGTTTTTAACCGCAACATCTAGAAACATATATTTGGATTGTAATTTCTTACTAACCAAATTAATTCTAAACAAAATTTCATGCGATATAACTAAACTTAAAATAAATTCAAAACTAAAAAGTTCACCATTTACTAGTGATTCGGCATCTCGACATACTTTTCCATCGTCACTAATTTCGGATAATCTTATTAAAGCTTTTCTTATTTGAGAGAATTGAGTTTTTATTGCTTTAATACTTTCAATATGACTTTCCCAACGAGTAGCGGATAATGATTTAAGTGTTAGTTCATTTATAAATTCAAGTAAAACACTCCATCTTTTTGTGGAACTAGAAAAAAACATTATAAATTGTTTGACATGTACCAAAAAAAGTTTTTGCCTTGTGGCAAGAATTTTCCATATCACACAAAACTAAATTTAAACTATGACACCCACAAGACATATAAAAAGCTCTATGATTTATATCAAGCAACCGTTTTTGTACACCATTGCGTTTTCCTTTCATATTAGCATCATTATCATACCCTTGACCACGAACATAATTAATATCCAAATCAAGAGATTTTAGAGCATCTTGTAAAATATTAAAAAGTTCTAGACCGGATGTTTCTTCTACAATCAAAAACTCTAAAAAAATTCTTCTACTTTTATTGGAACACTTGTCACATCCACACATCTTATAATTAAAGTCATTTGTTCTTTTGACTTGCATCCGGAGTGCAATCAAGAATTATAGAAAAATATTTTGCATCTTTAATTTTTTTAATAATTGCACTTTTTACATCCGATGCCAACATTTCGATTAATTCATTTTGAATTTTATGACTAAGATAATGATTATGTGTTTCTTTGTCTTGAATTAATCGAAAATGTTCTTTCATCACAGGATCAAACTCAACAATCATTTCAAGTATACCTAAAAAATTACCATTTGAGTTTTCATAAATTTTTTCATTTGTGCCACGAAAAGCCAAATTATTTTTTGCTAAACATTTCACAACAACAATAATTCTAACCATCACTTCTTTCCAATGTTCATTATCTTTTTTTATCATTTATTGTAACTCTTTATCAATTGTTTCATTTTTATTTAACCTAATTCGTGTTTCAGCCCAAGTTCTTAAATTAATCATATGATCGGAACTATTTTCATGTTGTTTTAATGTTTCACCTAAATGTATCCAATCATTTATTCCTTCAATTGCCAAATTACTTTTAGTCCGAGAGGTTTAAATAACTTACAACAAAAACAAAAAACTTTATCAAGTTCTTTTGAATACACTAACCATTTTCTTTCACAAGAATCACCATTTCTTAATTTACGAATAAAAAAATCATAAGAAAAATGTCTACCATGTGCATCTTTTGGAAAAATTGTATTAGGTTCAAATTCTCTATTAGACCCTTTTTCTATAAGTAAATCTTTCATTTTTGAATCTAAGTCATCCCACACTCTAGGATCAAAAATATTAAAATAACTTGATTTATCTTTATCAACAAATTCATTATTCTCACAATCTTTAGAATTATTAACCGAATCATTAGGTGAATCATTGGAATTTTTAATAGGATTATTAGAAGTATTAGGTGAATCATTGGAATTTTCAATAGAATTATTAGAAGTATTAGGTGAATCATTGAAATTTTTAATCGGATTATTA